AGAGCCATGACCCTGGTCCTCCATGAAATCTTAATTCCCTTCAAGTAGAAAAACACTGAGGGCAAGGTTAGACCCCAGATCTGAAGCACATGTTGTGTGTGATGTTTAAAGACCCAGCTCTGAGCTCCTGCCAGTGCCAATAAGCTGTTTCCTTTGCTTTTTGTGACCCTCCTGGAAGGACAGGAAGGACAAGGTTCTGCTTCATCATCAGTTCCTGCAGTGCCACAACATCTATTAACCTCCAGGGCTCGTCCCCGCTCGCTTTGCGTGTGGCTCCAATCTGTTTAAGGGAACATTGGCACCTGTCCCCTGAAAGTTAGAGCAGCTCAGCAATGCCACTTGGTGTCTGGCAGCACAGCAAGTACTGCAGGGCACGGGGTATGGAGTGGATTGGACAGGATTTATCATGATTAAGTCAAGAAAATACAGACAGAAGAGGTGGCACCACGGCAAGGTTGGGAGAATGTTCCTCAGAGCATGAGTGACACCAGGGGCCTTCTTCCCAGAGATCATCGAGCCCATGGACCAGCAGCCACTTGCTTCAGGAGCTGTTTTAGTCTCTCAACAGCTTAGGAAGAGCATTTCCAGCAGGGCAGGGAGGGATCCTGCCCCTCTGCCCAGCCCTGGGCAGGCACATCTGCAGGGCTGGGCCCAGCTCGGGCTCCTCAGCACAGCAGGGCCAGGGAGCTCCTGCAGCGGGGCCAGCGCAGGCTGTGAGGATGAGGAGGGCACTGGAGCATCTCCCTGAGCAGCAAAGGCTGAGGGAGCTGGGGCTGTTCAGCCTCCAGAGCAGAGCCTGAGAGGGGCCCTCCCACCGTGTGTCAGGGGCTGCAGGGAGGGGGCAGAGGATGGCCCAGGCTCTGCTCGGGGGGCCCAGCAATGGCACAGGAGGAACGGGCAGGAACTGATGCCCAGGAAGCTCCAGCTGGACAGGAGGAAGAACTTCTTCCCTGGGCAGTGACCCAGCTCTGAACAGGCTGCCCAGGGAGGGGCTGGAGTCTCCTCCCTGGGGAGATTCCAGAGCCCTCTGGACACAATCCTGTGCCCTGTGCTCTGGGCTGGCCCTGCCTGAGGAGGGAGGTGGCACCAGTGACCCACTGGGGTCCCTTCCAGCCTGACCCATCCTGGGATTCTGTGGAAAAAAGCACATCCAGAATGGGACTTGTTGTGCTGGTCCATCTCCAGCTGTTTTCCCAGTGTCTGGGTAGAAATCCATACACACTTTGCCACCCTGGGTCACTGCATCCCCACTTCATCCATCAGCAACTCAGAGGGGCATTCCCACTTGTCTCAGTCACATCCCTATCCCTGGGAAAACCCTCAGGAATTTATAGACCACAGCAACCACAAGAACAGTTTCCAAAGGTCCTCAGCCTACAGAACATGGTCCAGTAACACTGAGGGAAACAGATCCCAAATCCAACACAAAAGAATCCCAAATCTGACTGTGGGGGGAAGAGCTCACAGACCATGGGTTGTTTTCTTGCTCAGCACATGTCTGGCTGATGTTATATTTGGGGGAAAAAAGCATCGACTTGATTATAAAATCATAAGGGATGGAAAATCCATCCCTTCCCTCCTGAGCTGCTGGACCCTCACTATTAATTTGCACCTCATTCCTCACTTGGATTTTAGCATTAGGAAGCAGCAATGGCTGGAAGAAACATCTTTCAACAGAGATTCCTCACCCTGACACAGAGATAAGGAGTCACATCCTTAGTGCTCCCTCCAAGCACTTGTCTCTCAAGTCAAGTCACCTCTCAATCATCCTCACAACCTCAAGGCTGTCAGAGGACGAGGCTACAAAACTTCAGATGTGATGTTTGGAAAGGGCACAGTCCCAGTTGCACATGTTAATGCCTTTCCTTTTCCTCTCAATTTAATTTGGGAGGGAGAGGACACAAGAAACAACTGAAGCCTTCTGGGAGTGCACCCGCTGTTTAACACAAACTCCTCTCTCACAAAATGGTTCTCAGCACAGGAAGTTTAACACAAAGATCAGCTCAGTAAGAACAGCTCTAGAAAGGATAAAACTTGCTCCAAACAGTAGTGGACAAAGTGTGGGGGGGTTCATCTTATTTGCTGCAAAGAGAAATAGCACAGATTATTATCTTTTATTCCTGAGCTTCCTTTGAAAATGGATGTAGCAGCTAATCCCCAACATGCTGGATGAGGCAGGCAAATCCTCCTGGGAATGATCCCTTATCAAATTCACTCCTTTACTGAGGCTCAAGAACTTTGTGCAGAACTTCAGTTCAAAGCATGAAATCCATTCTGTAACTGGGCCAAGGTTGGACAGGGCTTGGAGCAACCTGGGCTAGTGGAAGGTGTCCCTGCCCATGGCAGGGGGTGGGATGAGATGAGCTTTAAGGTCCTTCCCAACCCAAACCATTCTGTGGTTCTTTAACCACCTCGCTGAAGCAACAGGTTCGGAACCCCCCCCTTTGCCCTTCTATCCCTGTGTTCCAGAAGAATCAGCCTGGTTTTGGTTACAGAAAGAAAACAGCCAAGAACACCCTTTCTCAGTCAGGACTGTGTCCTCTCCTCTTCCTTTCTCCCACTCCTCTGTCTGGATTATCCAAGCAGAGGATTATTTTGCAGCAGGCCCTGACCCCCCCACCCCTGCAGCCCCAGGACAGGATCAGCACTTGCCAAACCCCACAGGGCGAGCCCAGCAAGGTACAGCTTGTGTTTTCAGCAACTCCCTTTGCCCACTTTTATTTTTTAAATGTGCACAGACCAAACCTCCCCACGATTCCCACTGGCAGTGAGTCACAGGAGCTGCAGTGCCAGCTCGTCTCGGGCTCAGGAGGATTGACTCAGCCTCGATGGATTGATTCACTGGGAAAACATGGGGCTTGGATTTTGGTTCCAGAGAAATCAGCAGCACCTTCCCAACACAATGCATCAGCACTTCCATGCCCCAGGAGCACTTTAAGGGAGATTTTGGGTACCAGAATCATGTATAACATGGTGTGAGCAGGGCAGGGATTGTCCCTGTGCTGGCACTGCTGGGGCACCTCCAGCCCTGGGGGCAGTTTTGGGCCCCACAGGACAAGAGAGACACTGAGGGGCTGGAGGGTGTGCAGGGAAGGGAACGGAGCTGGGAAGGGGCTGGAGCAGCAGGAGCAGCTGAGGGAGCTGGGGGGGCTCAGCCTGGAGAAAAGGAGGCTCAGGGGGGACCTTCTGGCTCTGCAACCCCCTGACAGGAGGGGGGAGCCGGGGGGGGTCGGGCTCTGCTGCCAGGGAACAAGGGACAGGAGGAGAGGGAACGGCCTCCAGCTGTGCCAGGGGAGGGTCAGGTTGGACAGCAGGAGGAATTTCTCCATGGAAAGGGTGGTCAGGCACTGGAAGGGGCTGCCCAGGGAGGGGTGGAGTTCCCATCCCTGGAGGTGTCCAAGGAAGGACTGGAGATGGCACTCAGAGCTCTGGGATGGGGGACAGGGTGGGGATGGGGCACAGCGTGGACTTGACAGCCTTTGGGGACCTTTTTCAACCAAAAGGATTCTGTGATTAAGAGGAAAAACCCAACAAACAGCAGCTTCCCCAGGAGCTCTTGCTGTCCCCACGTGCAGCTGAGCAGGGCTGGCAGAGCAGTTTCCCCAACTGGAGCAAATATTAATTGGCTCTTGTTTTCCCAGTGTTTCAAGGACCCTTCAAAGTGCAGTTGCTCTGAGGAGAAAATGCACCTGCTAGTTGAGCTCCTTTTTCCTCTCCTCTTCACCTTGGCCAGAGTATTTTTAGCTGAATGGACAGACCTGCCAATACTTTCACCTTCAATCCTTTGCAAGGAACTTTCTGACAACACCCAGCAAGGAATGAACCAAATCTATCCAGGGTCAAGAGAGGCAGCAGGAAAGAAATGATGAGCAAAAGCAAGTCCCCAATGGGCTTTTTCTATTTTTTTTGCCTTCAATATTTTAGCTCCTGTTGTTCCCACACCACCCCTGCTCCCAGAGAACTCAGTTTGTACCTGATTTCAACACACCCAAGAGTTTGGCCTGAGATTTTAAGACCAGACATTCACACACAATCCACCTGATCACACTTTCCAGAATAAACTGGAACCCTGCTGAGTCCCCCAGATCTACTAATCTGAGTAGATTTGACAGAAAATAGCCCAATATTGTCATCTCAGAAGGCAGAAAAACTCACTATTTAAAGGAAACCCTCTCTCCTGGCTGTTCATCTCAGCAGGGAATGTGTCAACAGCTGCCAAATTGGTAAATACAAGGATTTGCTTCCATCAGAGCACAGGACCAGAAAGAAGAGGAGGAGACTTGCTCACGAAGCACTATTGTTATCAATTCATATGATGCTGGGCCCAGGATGGGGCATTAATTGCTACAAAACATGTCACACCAAGCTCTGAGCTGACACAGTCCCATGGGCCTTCAGGTCACTGCTCAGCTGCCTCTGGTGGACACAAATCACCCCTGGTTTGGGTCAATCCTCCAGAAATAAGCAGATTTCCATGGAGGAGGGGGGTGGTCAGAGCTGGCAAACTCCAGCACACACAGTTTCATGTCTGCAGGGTCAAGGGAACCTCTGAGAACCAGAGCAAGGTGATATATGGGGGTTTCTGACTCTTCCCAGGCTTCCCTGAATTTCCAGCTTTCCAGCTTTCCTTCAGCAGCCTGTTTGCAGTGTAATCCCTTCATCAGGAAATCTATTATTTGATGATCTCTCCAGCTCTCACAGCAGTTTACTGTCTCATTTCAGACACATTCTTTTGTTAATGAGTTTGTCCCCACATGGAAAACGGATCAAACCTGCTAAAATTTATACACCTGAATGTACAAGCCATGCAAATATGCTCCCAGCACATCCAGAACCCACCCCATGGCCCACCTTGAGAGCCTCTGAAGCCTCTCAAGTCTTTTGTAGGAAGTCTCTGCTTTTGTAGAAAGCAGAAGTAAGGTGAGAAGGAAGAAAGAAAAGGTGTCCTGTGCAGAAGGAATTAAAAAAACCTATTTAACAGTACATTCTTAACTGGGTACCTTTTCAGCCAAGGCCTTTAAACTGTCCAGAAACCTCTGCCAGAAGTCCTTGAAGAGGGGTCTGTCGATTCTCCTCAGGCTCTCCCTGGTGCTGGCATCCACACTGACATACAGCTGGGTCACTGGCTCCAGGCTCCTTCGGAAAGAAAAACCAGGGAATTGCTGTTTTCAGACCTTGCTGCTGCTTCAGTTTGTGTTTTTGTGTTACAGGAGCTCCCACCAAGCTGCTCTGCAGGTCCAGTAGCAACAGGAACTTGGCAAACCATCCAGGTTCCAGGGGTTCATCTCTGCCAAGTGACCATCGTCCGCGGCGAGCTGCTAGAACCTTCCACCAAATAACACCCCCCAAAGCTGGGAACTCACACACACAGGCCTTGGCTGACAATTTAATTATCTTTTCCTCACTGAACTGGAACATATTTCACTCCAGAGTAGCTGTAACACACCGGGAAAGGCTTCCCAAAGGAGGCTGCCAGGGAAGCACGGAGAAGCTCTGCTGCTCCCCACAGCCCCCATGGTTAAAATCCACACAGCTCAGCCCCTGCCCCAACTTCTGTTTGCTCTGGCCCATGGAAAACTAATCCCATTAAACAGAAATGGACCTCAGGAGGACATTTCTTCCTGGAAAGGGTGGTCAGGCACTGGAAGAGGCTGCCCAGGGAGGTGGTAGAGTCCCCCACTCAGTGCTCTGGGCTGGGGGACAAGGTGGGGATTGGGCACAGGGTGGACTTGGTGATCCTGGAGGGTTTTTCCAACCTCAGTGATTCTGGGATTCTTAATAGAGGCATAACTCAGCCACTTCCTACTGCTGTATACACTGAACTTACCTGACCTGCAGGTGGATCCTCAGCCAGTTTTTTGAAGGGATATTAAAGCTGTTTAGAAAATAAACCCACACACAAACCACCAACATGTTCTCCTTCCACTAACAAGGCCTTATTCCATAAATAATATTCCTTTCTGGTCCCACTGTGCTGGTGAGCTCAGCATCTGTGAGCCCAACACTGGTAATTCCTAAAGAGTTTAAACCTCCTGTACTGTGTGAAGAGCCTGAGTTGAGTCTAAACACTTCCAGAAATCAAGAGAATAAAGGAGAAGCAGCAACAGGTGCATCAGCAAAGGGATCATTGAGGGCATTGAGAACAACCTAGAAGGAGCTCCCTTAGAACTCCAGGTTGGAAAAGCCCTCCAAGATCATCAAGACCAACCTGTGACTTGTCCCCCAGCCCAGAGCACTGAGTGCTACCTCCAGTCACACCTCCAGGGATGGGGACAAGCCCTGGTGACACACAGAAGGGACAAAGCCAGTGAGTGTGACACACCCAGCCCCCATGGCACCTTTCACCCCAGGGGCTCTGAGCTGAACAACCACATCCCAAGTGTCCCCCAGAGCTCAGTGTGGGGACAGCACTTTGGGAGTGCAATGAGCAGGCACCAGTCCCAGCTTCGTGTGGTTCCTTGGAGAAGATGAGAAGAAATTAGAAACCATTGCTCAGCTGCCAAACAGGGCCATCTAAAAATACACCCACCCCCTGCCCACCCTGAAGGTGACAAAGGGACAAGGACTGGCCAGAAGGAGACCGAGCAGAGCTCTTTGTGTCCAGAAAAATCCACTTCACGTGGACACTCAACCAACCATCTGAACACATTCTCTCTGCATGAAGAACCCAGAACAAACTGAACATTTCAGGTTAAAATATCAGTTTGGGAAACAAGCCTGTCTGGACTGGCAGCCCAAAGCCACAGACTCCAAAATGAGCAAATGTTCTAGGCCTAAGTGGATTGGAGTGTTCAGTTTCAGAGAATACTGAGCCAAAATACTCTTTTTTTTCTCAGTGCTGTGTTTGCTTAATTAGAAGGTGCCCCAGTGAAGATGGAGGGGGCTTTTAAACTGCAGGCTGAGAAAAATCATCTCTTCTCTGAGGAACTCAAAGCTAACGACAGGTAAGAGCCAGACTCACTGTTAGATGGACAAAATTAAGGAATTAGAAGAGATCCCAAGGAGGGATTTCTGCACCATATTGCTCCAAGCAGGAGAGGTCCACAGGGCCCTGCCTGGCTGGGAATTGAGCCAGGATGAGCTTGGACATGCTCAGGAAACAAGGAGAAAGGGCAGCCATGGGTGCCATGAGAACTAGAACCCCCCTGATGTTCCTGGAACTCAGTTACACTTCACAATTAACAGGAGATTTAGTTGGATGGTACCAGGACGGGGTTTTGGTTGTCTGAGGTGACATCCAGGACACCAAATCCATGGCATCTACACACCAGCCATGAGGTGGTTCCAGCAGCCCAGCAGGAGCAGACACAGCAACACCAAACCCGAGCATCTGCTTGTGAGCAATGATGAGAATCTGCTCACTGTTATCTCTGAGGATCACAAATGCAAACACACACAGGAGGGTTCTTGTTCAGAGCCAGGAAACCTCCCTCACTTTGTAGATGTGTGGACAGGTGGAGCTGAAGTCTAGAGAGAAGATGAGGAGGAGGAGGAGGAGAGGAGAGGAAGGCCCAGGAGGCACCACACTGGAGGCCCAGTGGGCTCCTGTCCTGAACCCAGCAACAGCCCAGCCCACAGTCCCCTCCCATGGAATGGTTTGGGTGGGAAGGGACCTTAAAGCTCATCCAGTCCCACCCTCTGCCATGGGCAGGGACAACTTCCACTAGCCCAGGTTGCTCCAACCTGGCCTTGGACACTTCCAGGGATGGGGCAGCCACAGCTTCTCTGCCCAGCCTGTGCCAGGGCCTCCCCACCCTCACAGCCAACAATTCCTTCCCAATATCCATCTATCCTGCCCTCTGGCAGTGGGAAGCCATTCCCCCTTGTCCTGTCCCTCCAGCCCTTGTCCCAAGTCCCTCTCCAGCTCTCCTGGAGCCCCTTTAGGCCTGGAAAGGGCTCTCAGGTCTCCCTGGAGCCTTCTCTTCTCCAGGTGAACCCCCCCAGCTCTCCCAGCCTGGCTCCAGGGCAGAGGGGCTCCAGCCCTTGGAGGCCCTTGCAGGCCCTTGTCCAAAGGCCCTTCCTGCACCAGAGGTCACTCTGCCTATTTTAGGAGTAACATTTCCACTCCAGCCCCCCTCTGCTGACAGCACAGAACTGAGCCTGGTGCCTACTTCAGTTCCCACATTAAGCAAATCATTTGCTTTGAAGAGCCAAAGATCAGTTGCAATTTTTAAGACAGCAAGACCAGCGTTTTATCACTTTCTTTTTTGTTTCTTTTCAAACAGATTCAGCAGATCCGAAGAAGTGCAGCTTCAAAATAGAGCGAGTGCTCTCTTTTTAAACTGCTATATTTAGGAAAGAGCAATTTCTATCTATCAGGCACATAATACATGACTTAAAGTAACTTGATTACACAATTATTCAATCATTTGGAATGCCTTTGTGGTGTATAATTACTCCCTCCAAAATTGCCTGCCCTCCCCCCCCCACTGCCATATTCAGACCACGAGGAGTGAAAAGGAAGCTCTATGAGAAGTACTGACACAGAGAGGACTGAGCTGAAACAAGGAGCTGAGTGACACTCCAAAGCCACCCTGCACTCAGCTCACCCAGCTCCAGGCTTGGACTTTGCCAGAGGGATCAGCTGATGGAATTCTGAGCTCCCTCCCACCCTCAGCTCACACCATGTGCTGTGTTTCCTTGCTACTCTGCTTCAGACTTTGTTAAAAGCAGCCTGGATGCTCCAAAGCAGCAGGAAAAGGGATTCTTTGCATTTGTAAAGACTCTTGGAGTGTCCATTAATATGTTTGTTACATTGACAGAATCACAGCTCAAGTGCCACTGAGAGGGAGGTAAAAACCTCTGATCCCACTTTGCCAGTGAGTGTGTGCTTGTCATGTGTCCTTGTCCTGCATTCAGGGTCCTGCTGGAGATGCTGGGTTGTACAGAGCTCTGGTTTGAGCCAAAAGCTGCTCTTAGGGAGTGAGAACAAAGATCAGACCCAAAATTTATGAGCTCAGTCTCCTGCTGTGGCTGACAGAAACACTCACACCAGGTATCCACATCCCCAAGCTCAAAGCACAGCAGGTACAACATTCCATGCTCTTCACTTCCAGAAGCAATCCCAGTTTGTTTAAGAGGTACAGGAAGGAAAATCAGACTGGGGGAGAGAAAGAGATGAAAATGAGCACAGGGAGATTGAGGTTCAAACCAAAGAGATGCCGAGTGGGTTTTCCATTGCCATCATGCAGAGCTCACTCCAGTGGGGGATAAAGTGGAATCAAGACACAGGTCAGCATTCCAATGTTTTAGTAGGAAGGTATTTCATCCAGCTCTTACCTGATCTCCTCTGGGAACTGTGCATTGGTCACCAGGAAGCTGGAGATGCTGTGCTGGTGCAGGAGCCTCACGAAGCGGTTGATCTGGGGGTACATGATGGGCTCCCCCACCAGGGACAGAGCACAGTGTTTCACTGTCAGGGCCTCCTCAAAGCGAGCTGCCTTCACCCCTGACACACCTGGAAAAGGGGGAAACAGCCTTAAATCAACAATGAATGGGGCCCTGAGTGACGTGGTAAAGTGGAAGGTGTCCCTGCCCATGGCAGGGCTTGGAACGAGATGATTTTTAAGGTCCCTTCCAACCCAAACCATTCTGGGATCCCATAACAAATCCCCCTCCCAAACCTTGCATCTGTATCCAAAAGACACCCTGGCACAAGGAGGACTGAGAAAAGCAGCTGGAGCCAGAGGGGACACCAGGCCACAGGCAGTGCCCAGGAGCAGCTCTGCAGGAACCCACAGACCGTGTCCACCCAGAGCCTGGGGCTGTGTGTGCCCTGATCACTGCTGTGAGCAACTTGGGTAGTAGTAATGAGTAACATTTGAGCCCAGCTTTAACCTTTGAGCCCAGCTTTAACCTTTGAGCCCAGCTTTAACATTTGAGCCCAGCTTTCCATTGCTGAGCCCTCGGTGGTGCTGCCCAAGCGCTGAGACAGAAACACAAGAGGCAGTTTGATGCAACTTCAAGCAGGTGTCTTAAAAAAGAACCCCAGGTTATGTGTGTGTGTGTCTGCTGTTGGTCCCTGTGGCCCCCCAGCCCCAGGAAAAGCAGCTCCTGGGGGAGCTGAGCACGTGTCACTGGGCAGAACATCAACAGCTGGGGCTGAATCCACACCGGCAAACACACAAGGAGGAGTTCAAAACCCCACCACAACACGGCCCTGAACAGCCAAAGAGAGTTCAGAAGGAAGAGGAAAACAAGGAGCTCAACTGTAGCATCCATGTGAAAACACCACCTGCAGGTCTGACCCACCTGAGGTCACGATTCCCAGGGGAGGAAAACCCTCCCCCAGCCCACCCAGCCCTGCCCGAGCGCTCAGGACCCCGCGTGGAATCACCCGACTACAAAAAAGCCTCTGCTCCAAATATGTCACTTCACATTTCCTTGACGTGCCTTGATGTCCTCCAATAACATCTGAGGGTTTACATTGGGGGCTGGTCTTTTTTGAAGATTAAAAAAAACAAAGCCCTGAGTGTGGATCCAGGTCCTCAGCTCACCTCTCGTTGCCTTGACGCTGCAGCACAGAAAATTCCACCCTGTGCTGCAAAGCCCAGATAAAAAGGGGTGTTTGTGGATATTGCTGCAGCCTCACGTAGAAAAAAGCTGATTTGGAATCAGAGCAGAGCTTAGTGAATTTTAAACCAGCCAGGCTCAGTCCTGAGCCAGTGACAGGACTAATGGTTATTCCATAGAAACTTGACAGTACTAAATGAGAGCTTTATTTGAAAAGAAAGAAGCATCTGAACCACACACTGAGATTAAAGGACTAACTTTGGTATTTGTAAGTCATTTTTGGAATTAATTAATTCCCCTCTCTCAGCATCTCTCCTCTGGACTCCCATAATTACCGTGGCAGCTTTGTAAGCAGAGAGAAGAAAATTCCAACATCACCTAAAGTTGGAGTGGAACTTTCTCAAAACAGTTTACACCAAATCTGCTGAACAGCAAACACAGCCCAGAGGAGGGAGAGGGTTTGTGTGCAAACATCTGACGGTACAAATCACCAGCCAGGCAGGGATAAGCTGCACAGCATTAGTGCTATTCCAGGAGGGCAGGAACTCTCCTGCACTTGGGGCTGTTTTTACCCTCAGGGACTCTCAGGATTTCCCAGCACAGGTCATGCATTTTTGTTTGGTTTTTTTTCCTTTTCCCTGGGCTGTATTATCAGAGACTCCCACTCTCCTATTTCTGAATTATGTTTCCATTCTCTGTGTGCCCTTTGCAAGGGCAGAGAGATTTACCAGTCACTCCCTGGAAAAATGTATCCATCAACTGAACTGCTTCCCACCTTCACTCCATAGCAGTAACATTTCTCTCCATCACTTACTCTAAGAGAGAATTGTGTGACTTTAATGTCTGTGGTCTTCAAAACCAGCACAAACTATGGCAACAATAAAGGAGAACATGATATATTAGAGGGACTCAGAGAATTGAGGGCTGTTCCTCCAGGATATCCTAAAGGATAGAGGGACACAAGAATTCTTCTGTTCCTTCAAAGAAAATATCATTTCTACTTCAATGCATGGAATTAATAAAGCCTCATAGAATCCCAGAATGGCTTGGGTTGGAAAGGGACCTTAAAGATCACTCAGTCCCACCCCCTCCCACGGGCAGGGACACCTTCCACTGTCCCAGGTTGCTCCAAGCCCCAGTTGCTCCAACCTGGCCTTGGACACTCCCAGGGATGGGGCAGCCACAGCTTCTCTGGGCAACCTGTGCCAGGGCCTCCCCACCCTCACAGCCAACACTTCCTTCACAATATCCAACCTAAATTTCCCCTCTGGCAGTGGGAAGCCATTCCCCCTTGTCCTGTCACTCCAGGCCCTTGCAAACAGTCCCTCTCCATCTTTCCTGTTGGCTCCTTCGGGCACTGAAAGACCAGTCAGGTCTCCCTAAAGCTCCTCTCCTCCAGGCTGAACAATCCCAGCTCTCCCAGCCTTTCCTCCCAGCAGAGCTGCTCCAGCCCTCTGATCCTCCTGGTGCTCCTCAGATGAGCTCAGCAGTCCCTTTGGCACGTGGAGATGGCACTGGACTACAAAGGGCAGCACCAATTTATTCAACTGGCTTTGGGCATCACCTGAGCAGCATCACTGGGTGCTCAAGCCCTGAGGGATCTCTAGGTAAGACACTTCCCCATGGTTTTATTCTCCAGGAGCCCAAATTTGTCTGTTCTGCTCTGGGGGTCAAACAGCTCAGCCCTGCTGGAAGTTCCTCTGGAGTCCCAGTCAGTGCTGCAGAATCATGGAATCACTGAGGTTGGAAAAGACCTCCAAGATGGGGTCCAACCATCCCCCAGCACTGCCAAGGCCACCCCTAACCCATGTCCCCAAAGGCCACATCTATACAGTTTTTAAACCCCTCCAGGGATGGGGACTCCCCCACTGTCCCGGGCAGCTGGGCCAGGGAAGGACAACCCTTTCCATGGAGAAATTTTCCCAGGATCCAACCTGACCCTCCCCTGGCACAGCTGGAGGCCGTTCCCTCTCCTCCTGTCCCTTGTTCCCTGGGAGCAGAGCCCGACCCCCCCCGGCTCCCCCCTCCTGTCAGGGGGTTGCAGAGCCAGAAGGTCCCCCCTGAGCCTCCTTTTCTCCAGGCTGAGCCCCCCCAGCTCCCTCAGCTGCTCCTGCTGCTCCAGCCCCTTCCCAGCTCCGTTCCCTTCCCTGCACACCCTCCAGCCCCTCAGTGTCTCTCTTGTCATGAGGGGCCCAAAACTGTCCCCAGCCCTCGAGATCCCCCAGCAGTGACAGCACAGAGGGACAGAGCCACAACAACCTGCTCCTCACTGCTTAAGCCCTGGGGTGGTTTGTGGGGTTCTGATGGTTTTTTTTTGTTTCAAGAATCAATCCCAATAACATCCACCTGCTGTTTGTGGAGCTGCTAAGTTGGCTGGAAAGACATGGCCATGTTTTGTGCCCGAGGCAGCTCCAGCCTGGCACTGCCCACTGGGGACTTCCATCCTTTCCTGCATCCTTTCCCTGTCCCTGCCTCAGCTCCCCCCACACTGCTCCAGCTCCATTTTGCTTTCACTGATTCTGCTCCAACAATATTTCCACAGGCACCCCAGGGAAGCGACAGTGTAACATCCCCAACATGGAACAGCAGCTCCTGGGCTTTTCCTACTGATTTTTCTTCTCCTTAATAAACCTTTGGCTCCCAAGGCAGGAAGCATGTTGCCATCTATCACTCTGAAAAAAAGTAACACAGCTTTTCTTTTCCCACTTTGCAGCTCATTTCTAGTTCAGAACCATTTTTTTCCCCCCTGCTCTTTCTCCTTTCACAGTTCCAGGTCAAGGGTAACTGTGCTGAGGATGCACAGGCACATTTCAGGGAATATTTATGAATTTGTTTAATGGAGAAGAAGCTCCCAAAGGAGAGAATTGGAATGTCCTTACAGGCCTCTTGACACTTAAGCAATATTTTCAGATGCTGACAAGTCTGTCCCTAATGATTCCCTGTTCCCAGCCCTTTTTGGGAAGAGAGCAGGGAGTAGTAAAGGAAAGAAAAGGTTATTCTTTACTCCAGGGTGATAAAGGCTTTACTTAAAGGACTTGAAAGACTTCAAGGTTGGAGACTCTCCCACCTCTCTGGGCACCACCTTGGCTGAAGAAGCTGATTTTGATGTCTGAGCTGACCCTTCCAAACAGAACCCCAAGTGTGTGGTCCCTTGTTCTACCACAGCAGGTGGGTCTGTGGGTTCAGCGTGGGCTGACAGGGGGTTACAGACTCCTCCAGAACCTTCCACTGCTTACACTCACTGAACCATGGAAAAGGTCTCTAAGATATCAAACCCAACCAAGTTTATCACATTTGGGAAATCAAATAAAACCTCTCAAAAAACAGCCATGTCTATACAGAGACAGAATGAATAAACATCCAACTCACACCAGGTTCCTATTTGAAGGAAAAGCAGTGCTACTGAGAGGGGATAACTGCAGCTTCAGTCAGAAAGAGGTGTTTGAATAATTCCTGAAAACAGGAATACCCTGAATGCTGCTGCTTAATTATTAATGGGAAAACACAACCTGGAAGTTTCAGAATTAACACAAAAGCAGGGGATTAAGGCTGGGTATTTCCTGATCACTTTTAACCTCACTTGTACAGAAGAGCCAAGATTTCCCATCATCCAAACCAGTTTAACCACTGTGGAAATCTCTGTGCTCACCAAGGGAAAAGATGTAACAACCACCAAGGTGCAACTCCCCTCCTCCCCTGCAGGCAGCACCAGATACCCAGTGGCTGAGGAAAGGCCAAACAGCTCAGAAAACAATAAATGTGCCACAGGAGTTTCTTCTCCCCCATCTCTGTGATGTCCCACACCTCACGTCTCCCTCCCAGATGACCAGAATGTTCTCCCCCAGGCTCTGAAGGTGCCACTGCTGGTTGTCTTCTCAAAGCACCACGGATGGGGTGGGAGGAGAAGTCACCTCTGAACTGCTTGATCATGTTCTGATGGTTCTCAATGGCCTCCTGCAGGATCAGCTCCGGCTGGTCCATCTTCCAGCGCCACTCTGTGCCCACGGGGTTGGTGTGGTGTCTGAAGGGAGAGGAGACAAGGCACTCACTGGCATTTGAACACACCTGGGAGGACCCACCTGCCACCTCTGGCAGTGTTTAACAACAGTAAAAGCCACGAGAAATTCCCAGCAACATCCTGCTGCTGACCCAACTTTTGGGTGTCATCCTTGACCACCACTCTCATACCTCTCTTCTTGCAGGCTCTGCTCTCCCCAGAGGGGAAAAATGGACCTTGCAGTTCCCATTAAACTTAACATACCTATTCTGAACCCCAGGTGAAAGGTTTCTAAGCTAAAATGATGCTCTGCAGCCACGAAAACCTCTGTAAAGAAAGGAAAGCTGGTTCTACCTCCTCTTCTGACCACGGCTGCAGAAAGCTCTGGAGAAGGAAGGTCCCAGGACACCTTTAATTCCATTTTAAAGGCACCAACCACCACCCTGAGAAGGACAGGATTTGTTCCTAATCCAGTCTTTGTTTTGTGCTGTGGCAACAAGGCAGATTAGGGCAGGATGCTTCAAACTCTGGGAGCAGGAAGTCTGCACTGTACCACAGTGGTGGATGTGGTTCATGTCCCAGACTGAAGGAGAAACCCCACAGATCTTCCCTCTGAGGAACAGCACATTGGGTTAGGAAGCCAACCTTGCCTGGAAAGGATCATTGCATCCAAAACCAGCAAAAGCCCACCCAGGGAAATCCACACAAGCACCTGGAAGATCTGCAGAGTTTCTCCCCATTTCTTATTTATTAGCATGAGAAGATGTCACAAAACCATTGTAAGTCAGCTGGGAAAACAACCTGCATCCTGACCAGCAAATGAGACATCACAAGCGACTGGTTGGTCCCCATCATGGTCCCACCTGACAAACACAGCCCAGAGAGAGCCTGTCCCCTGCTCTGAGCAATCCCCCACTCCTGCTGCATTTGGATCAGCATCTAACAGGGATCATCAGCCTTTAAGGATCATCTTAAGTCAATGAATTTCCTTGTTCTCTCTCCATCTTTACTGTTTCATTCCAAAACATGCTGCAACAGCTCCTTCCTTTTCCCCTCCCAGCCCCACTGCACTTGGAATAACCCACTGAGAAAAGAGCAGCACATTTGGCTTCTGTGTCTGTCACAGAAGCTGCTGGATTAACACAGCTCTGGACAGGGAAACAAGACCAAGCAAAATATCCCCCTGACACTGAGATTCCTGCCCCGGTGCCCCCTGTTTCCAGCCCCACTCTCCAGCAGCCCTGGAAGGCAGCCAAGGAGAGGGCTGGGAGGTGCCCTGCTGCATTCAGCCTGCCAGCTCCAGGGACAGCAGGACATGAGCCCAGCACTTAACTAAGGGAGGAAAGACAGGGAAGCACTTTCTCAGGATGAAGGGGCTGATCCAATACTTGCTGGAGACAAGTAAAAGACTCCCACTGACTTTGGACAGGGGGGAACGGATTCAAACTAAGAGTAGATGAAATATTAGGGAGAATTTGTTCCCTGTGAGGGTGGGGAGGCCCTGGCACAGGTTGCCCAGAGAAGCTGTGGCTGCCCCATCCCTGGAAGTGTCCAAGGCCAGGATGGACAGGGCTTGGAGCAATCTGGGCTAGTGGAAGGTGTCCCTGCCCATGGCAGGGGGTGGAACTGGATGAGCTTCAAAGTCCCTCCAACCCAAACCATTCTGGGATTCTCCAAGTGAAAACCTGCAGCTGCACACTCTGCCAGTGCTAAAGCCCAAATTCCAGACCCAGCCTCACTAAACCCAGCCTTTTAGCTCAAACATTTCTTCATCTACTTCAAGAGCAAAGATTCAAGCACTGCTCCCAAACTTTACCACCTCAAGGATCCTTTAAGCCAAAACAGCTTTGCTTTCCAAATTTCCCCTTTTTCTCCCTCATCTGCCAACATGGCAAGTTTTCTGAATGTCAACTATAAAATGCATTTATAAAACTCTTACATGTTTAACTACATAACTTGTACCTTGTATATTTTATAGGGCAAGTTGGCAGAAAATCAATAAGCTCTGGATACACCCTGGACAGCTGTTGGTGTCCAACAGGCCCTGAATTTTGAACACGTCCTAACTGTTTAATAAACATAGCAGGTCATGTCTACAAAGCAGCTTATTTGGCAAAAAAGGAGTTTCTCTGCTATAGGAGCATAAAAAAAGCAATGCCTTGTGGCTGAGATTGTTTGATGGTCCCCAGAACACACAGGATTCCACTGTCACCTTCCCATTCCCCCCAGGCTCTGTGACCCTCCTCACCATCTGCCTCACTGGTGACTCAAGCCTAGAGCTGGTACCTGTGCATGGCATTCCTTCCTTCCCTCCCAAAATAACACAAGGAAAAAAGAAATCCCACCCAAAGCCACACACACCAGAAACCCTGGATTTTAGCAGAGATTCCAAGTGTGGAAAAGGTTTGCTTTGATCCTTCAGAGACATTTCACTGCTGCAGCATCCCACCACCATGGAGTGAGGCGGGACTGCAGCAAACACGGTGGGAATCTCCCAGCTGGCTCCCAATTTTCCCTGGCTGACCACCCAGCAGTGTTATCAGACCTTTGATCCACCAGGATTAGGTGACAGCATTCCCAGAGTGTCCCTGGCAGTCCCTGAGACCTCTGTGAAGGTGGGTGTGCATCCCCATCCCAATCGCTTGGGGACTGGTTTAATAAATCTCCTTTTGCTTTGTGCCTTCTTCAAAGGATTATTAAAGCCTTCCAAGAATCTTTGAGGGCAAGTGGAACTCGGGGATAAAGTATCATTTGCTCCAGAGCTGGTGATCCCTGGGGGTGAACATGAAGGAAGTGCTGGTGGCAGTGCCCAGGAAAGGACAGAGCACGTCCTTCTCAGGGTGGGGAAGAGCAGAATAAAATTAAAGAGAGTCCAAGAAGCATCTTCAGTGAACCCTGAGAACCATCAGAGGAGATCCCAGAGGAGAAGAGCTTAAGGGCAAAGGAGTTGAGGAGAACTGGCAGGTTTTTGAACCCCATTAAGGCAGAAGCACAACCTGCAGCAATAAAAAGCAAAGATACAAAGGATAACAAAACCCAGCCTGCTCTTCTGCAACCTTGTGATCCCTCAGCTGCAAACAAAACCAGCACAGGAACACAGGGGCAACCTCAGAGAGGGGAAGGGCAAAAATCAGACACAACTAGAAAAGGACACACAAAAGGGCTCCCAAGGATGACTCTCCCTGTAATGATGGGAGGAGGAAAACGAGGAACAAGGAAAAAGCTTGTCCAGTGCACAAGCAACCCACGTTTAATGTTCCTCTGGGATGACAAGAAACCTCTTTGCAGCTTTTCTTCTGCTTTTTCCTTAGAGCAAGAGGAAGAGCACAGACTGGGCTGGGAAGAGAACAGGTTAGAGATATTTAAACTCTCTGGGATGGTTCAGTCGCCCCAGAGCATGGTGGATAAGTTGGCTCAAAGTATCAGAGGGTGCCAGGGGTGGTTCAGATTGGATAGTAGGGAAAATTTCTTCATGGAAGTCTTCATGTGGCAGGGCAGTGGTGGAGAACCATCCCTGGAGGGGTTTAGCACAGTGGCACTTGGGGACATGGGTCAGTGGTGGCCTTGGCAGTGCTGAGGGAATGGTTGGACTCAAGGATTTCCAAGGGTTTTCCCAACCAAAAGGATTCTGTGATCCTCTTCCAACTGACACTTTGGAAATCTTAAGGACAGAAGCTGCTCCCTGATGAAGAAAATACATCCCAACTCCAGGAAATGGAGAGCAGTTCCCAAAAAATGATGCTCAGCACCTCCCAGGTGTCTGCCATGTGTTTGTGTCCCCCCATCCCATCCCCTCCCAGCACAATCCTGCTTGGCACAGCCTCCAAGACCATTTCACAACTAATCTGAGTGTCAAAAGACACCAAAAAGTTGGTGCCTGGGCACCAACCCCCTGCAGGAACTACCCCAACCCATGTGAGCATCTCACAGCCAATAATCTGAATATATTCCCCACCAATGCCAGAAATTTGGGAGCTGACAGTGACAACTACAGAAGCCTTCAACAAGCCCAGGTCCAGAAAAATGCACAGTGCTACAGGATGAAAATCAGAGATTCCAATCCCATTTCACCTGAGGAACATTTTCTCCCAGAAATGCCTCTGATTACTGAGCTGGCAGAGCATCGAGACTCTACCACTGACAGGGGCACGAACTGGGGACATTCCATGATTCCTGTCCCATTTATATGGTTATTTCAAGAGCTCCTGGAAGGCCCAAAAATCAACAAACCAGTGAAGAACCAAATGTGAAGGAAACAATATATCACAATACCTCACTCCTGTAAATAAAACAATAACCAGGGAGAAAAGAGCAACAACTTAGCAGAGCAAGGACTGGTGGTTGGAGATGCAGAGACTCTCTGAGGTTCCAAGTTTTCCAAACCTGCAGTGACAACTCCTTTGATATCACAATACTCCCCATTTCCCTGAAGGATTGAGCCTCTGGAGTCAAGTTACTTATTGAGGAGAAGCTTTTGTTTTAATCTGTTTTCAGTTTCTTCTTCATTTTTAAATGACCTGAAGTAGTTCTCCTAGGAGAGATTATTCATTTTGAATCTCTTCATTTTGCAGGGTTTCCAGTGATCACTGGCTTTTGGCCACACACTTATTTAGTGTGTGTACAGAAGAACTTCAGCTGTTTTCTACTGTAAACCTGAAACCTTCAGGTACAGGTATAAACAAAGTTACAGAACAAGAAATATGAGCCAATTCCTCCACAGGATATTTCACTCTGTCTGCTTTGCCTCCTCCTCAGATGCAAAAGTAATAAACTCTATTAATTTAAATCTGATTTTGCTGTTCCACCTCTCCACAATAATTGACTGGGTTTCAGACAGTCAGACCAGCTCATCCCAGGAGCTCTGTCTGGTGACTGTGCTGCAGTTTGGTGTCAGGAGGCCTCAGAATCCTCTCTTGCTCTAATTGATTAAAAGATTTGGCCACTTGCACAGCTCCATTTAGGCAATCAGGCTAAAGAGACACTACAGAGCAGGGATGGGGAGGGACAGACTCCCTCTGTGAGCACGATTATGTTGCAGTAATTAAGGTGTGGGTTCCCCCTCCAGCCCAGGAGTTCAGCACAGCTCCAGGCTGCCCTGGGGAACACCAAACAATCCAGCTCACAGAATCCTGGAATATCCTGAGCTGGAAGGGACCATCCAGGACACCCCAACAATCCCAGAGAGCGTTGTCCAAACCCTCCCTGAGCTCTGGCAGCCTTGGGGCTGTGCCCACTGCCCTGGGGAGCCTGGGCAGTGCCCAACCAGCCTCTGGGGGAAGAACCTTTGGCTGAGATCCAACCTGAGCCTGCCCTGGCACAGCTCCAGGTCATTCCCATCTCTCAGTCTGTTTTTTCTGTCCTCCAAAAAAGCTGCCACACAATCCTTCAGCCCCAACCTCTGAGCCAGCTCTGAGGGGACAGACTGGGCAGCACGAGCCAGTGAGGGGGCACTGGCAGGAGTGGCAGCTCCCAGGGATCTACTGCTCCCAGGGACAAGGAAAAGGAAGGGCTCCAGTGCAGAGCCAAGCTACATCTTTTACAAATTTTATTTGTAAATCAATTTTATTTATTTTAATTACACCCTAATTTTCTGCAGGTGTTTGGACACTGGCTCCACCCATGAGGTCCAGTGGAAGGTGTCCCTGCCCACAGCAGGGGGTTGGAATGAGATGAGCTTTGAGGTCCCTTCCAACCCAAACCCTTCCATGATTCCATGACTGGTTTGGGGCCAAAACGTGTCAGTGCCAAGCAGCCAACTCCCCTGACATCCAATTCCCAGGGAAAGCAGCTCAACTGCAGCATTTCTTGGCAAAGTGAGGAAGAGAAAACAAACAGGCTCCTTGGCCTTTTCCTCAGCCATCCTGGGAGAGCTGCAGTGGTTGTGCAGTTGGAAACATTGGCAGGCTCTACAAATGTCAAAACCCTGAAAGAAGAGATCAGGGGAAAAAAAAATCACAGAGGCCTTATCTGCAAGGCAGAGCTGCCCAGGGAGAGCAGCAAGGCATAAAACTGGTATAAAAAACATTCTGCCAAGAGCAGATCAAAACTATTGCTTTGTGTGTCTCCAACAGCACAGATGGCAAGTGGCTGCTAAGGAGGGGATGTGTTTATCCTGCACCTGCAATCCCATGTTCAGTCTCACATGGTTAAGACTCTGCAAGGTGTGGTGGGTTTAAAATAAAGAGCAGAGATAGGCCTGACTGCAGGGTTTGTGAGCTGGGCTGGCACAGGATCAGCAGGGATTTGGTGTAGGAAGAAAGGATGGAAATCCTTCTTATTACGTGTGGAATATAATAGATAAGAATCCTTCTTATTATTTATGGAACACACCAAATCACAGCCACACAAAGGCTGCAGCAGCCCAAGCACAGGATCTGCAAAAGTAACCAAAAAGAAGAAAACTTCTTTCAGCAGCAGGTCTGGTTTATGTCAAGCTTAAGTACATAAAGCAAGCCCTGGGATGAGCCTCAACCGGAGCCTTACATCTTCCAACTTAAAACCTCCAGCTTCCCATGGAAGTATAAGACAACCAGCTGCATTCCACGTGGGAGAGTTAATCTCCTGCCCCCCATTTCACCCACAGGAGGTAAATATATGAATAAATACATAAAACCTGTCAGCACAGCCCCCTGGAAAGCTGTTTCCTTGCATTCAGGTTGTAACCATCAGGAAAATCAGCATCCTAGGGCTGCTGCTTCCAGGATCCCTCTGAAGTGCAGAGTGACAGTTACAGGATGATGAGTTAGAGGAACATGGAATGAACCAATTTATCCCAATTACTGCAGTCTCCAATTTACACTTGCTGGACTTCCCTGACTCAGTCCCTGCTCCCCACACAGGCTGCTGCTAAGAAATACTGAATTAGCTCAATTTTAAGAGAAACTGTGTTAAATCCCCTGTGGAGTAATACTGGGAACAAACCACCTCCTCCTCTTTGCTGTTTGGGATGTACCTTCTGTGTAGGGCCAGAGGGACAATCCCATGCCCAGCATTCCCAGGCACCCTGCAGAATTCAGTGCAGCACCGGGAGCTGAGACGTGGGAAAAGAAGAGACACGAGTGGCACATTCTTCTTCCCAACCATTACACTGCTCTGAAGAAAAGCAGCAGAACTTTCTCATTAAACATTCCATTTGCTGAGTCCTTTCCAGCCAGGATATGAGGAAAGCCCATCAAAAGCACCAATTAACATTTTGGAATAGACTCCCAAACGCAAACTTAACAGGATGACCAGCGTCTAGTGCTTAAACTTAACACCAAGGCTGGAAACAGCTTCAAAGTGCCTTCAGAGTTAGAGCAGTGCTTTAAATGTTCTCATGAAATATTTGCATTATTAAAACTTGAAGACTGTGAGAGACAGAAAGGGGCACTCAGAAGAGTTTGGCTGGTTTTGCATGGAAATATTATCACAGAATCCTAGAACAGTTTGGGTTGGAAGGGACCTTAAAGCTCATCTTGTTCCAAACCCCTGCCATGGGCAGGGACACCTTCCACTAGCCCAGGTCGCTCAGGATTATTTACTGGGATGTGGGACACTCAGGCTGAGGGATGGAATGGGTGTTGTTGGCAACCTGGGGTAAGGCATAAATCCCAAAGGAAACACAGCTCTAATGGGATGAATTAACAAGCAAGGTAGAAGACAAAAGAGCTCAAAAATAACCTCCCTGTCCTCCCACTCAGAGCACTCACACCACTGCTGGTGTTCCTGCTGAGCCTCAGCCTCTCTCCAGACCCACCCTGCCCGGGGGTGCTTTGAGAACAGGACAGGGACAGAATCCCAGGGTGGGTCAGGCTGAAAGAGACCACAGAGGGCCACTGCTCCCACCTCCCTGCTCAGGCAGGGCCAGCCCAGAGCACAGGGCACAGGATTGTGTGGAATATCCCCAGGGAGGAGACTGGAATATCCCCAGGGAGGAGACTCCAGCCTCTCCCTGGGCAGCCTGTTCAGAGCTGGGTCACTGCCCAGGGAAGAAGTTCTTCCTCCTGTCCAGCTGGAGCTTCCTGGGCATCAGTTCCTGCCCGTTCCTCCTGTGCCATTGCTGGGCCCCCCGAGCAGAGCCTGGGCCATCCTCTGCCCCCTCCCTGCAGCCCCTGACACACAGTGGGAGGGCCCCTCTCAGGGTCTGCTCTGGAGGCTGAACAGCCCCAGCTCCCTCAGCCTTTGCTGCTCAGGGAGATGCTCCAGTGCCCTCCTCATCCTCACAGCCTGCGCTGGCCCCGCTGCAGGAGCTCCCTGGCCCTGCTGTGCTGAGGAGCCCGAGCTGGGCCCAGGCTGCAGATGTGCCTGCCCAGGGCTGGGCAGAGGGGCAGGATCCCTCCCTGCCCTGCTGGAAATGCTCTTCCTGATGCTCCCCAGGATCCCATTGGCCTCCTTGGCCCCCAGGGCTCCCTGCTGGCTCAGGGACAGCATTGTCTCTGTTCAGCAGACCCCAACCCCAAGGTGAACCCCCCCAGGGTTTTACCTCCAGCAGAAGACACACTTGTTGGCACAGGCCAGGCTGGGGGTGGCCTCCATGCAGCGGTGGCTCTCGATCCCATAGAAGGTGTGTTTGTAGCAGCCCCCTCGGCCCCGGAGCATCGACTGCGGGCACAGAGAGACAGCACAACACCAGCACAGTGAGAGCACAGCCACACAGCACAACACCAGCACAGTGAGAGCACAGCCTGTCCAGCCACAGGGAGGGCACAGTTTGAAATCTGCTCCCTTCAGTCCCCAGGAACTCCAGTTCAAAGCCCTGTGAGTGACACTGCGAGGTCACCCAGGACACCAGTGCCACCAGTGCCACCCGCTCCGAGCGATTCCCAGCACACACATATCAACAGTGTGACTGTTTATACACAGCCCTACAGGCAAACTGCATTTATGAGGTCAAATTTATAACTGTTTTGGAGGAGAAAAAACTTTAATCTCATCAGTACCTTCTCCCTTGCAGACCCCAGCACAAGAATGTGGAGCTTTCACTGAACCAGTCCACGAAAAAAAGCAGGAGAAGGCACTGGAGATGCAAGAAGTGTTGTTGTAAAAGGAGTAACAAGGATGAATTTTAAGGCTGCCCTACTGAACACTCCATTCCTTTCATTTGTCTGCCAGAGTGTTTCTTCCAGCACTAAATTAAATAAACACCCTGACCTTATAAACCCTCATTCACACCCAGCAGTGGCTCCAGCAGGACTCTGCACTTCCCTTCCCAGCACAACCACAGCAGCTTCCCAATGGGAATTAACTCCTGTTTAGCATTCAAGCTGCTCGGAGCAAAGACTGCCTTTCGTTAGCTCAGTTAAATAATAATAAATGAGAAAGAAGCTACTACTCTCAAAAGCAAATTTGCAATATGACACAGCAGCTGAAGGATCCTGGTGATCCAAAGGAAAGTCTTCACTGAGCAGCAGGGAAAAATATCCAGGTAACCCCTAAGATATGCACAGGCTGGTTGTACAGGTAGAAGATGAAACAAGGTGGGAAATGCTGTTTATTCTACCCATTCTTCAAACAGAGACTTCAGGAGATCCACAAATTCCAGGACAGCAAGTTATATTTGGGACTCTTCTGAAAATGTGCAGGTTTTTTCGCTCTTTTCCGGGATTTGACAGAACACAATCTTTGCTATCTGTGATATCCCTATGAAAGTCTATTTAATGCTAATCCTGCCAGCCCTGCTCCTGCTTTCCAGTGATCCAAATCTCCAACGAGGCTCCTGGAGACACTCACACACTGGTGTGAACCTCAGGCAAAGCCACTGCCCGGAACCAATTTCAGCTCAATTTATTAGAAGCCTTTACATTCAATTCCTGCTTAAGCTAAAAATAGTGTGGGCCTATCTAAGCACATAGAGCTGCTATTTATTTTGTGAAATGGCTTTACAGCACTGCATTAAATTCTGGTTCTTTAATAAAAGCAGCTTCTCTGCTTTTCTCAGTCGCAACATTGGAGCTTGACAAGTTTTTCTTTGAACATTTCACGGCCTTCTCTGACACTAAAAATGACAGAGGAGAGAAATATTTGTAAGAGTGAGCAGCAGAAGCATCAGTGGGATCGATGTATCTCACAAACACTCCTGACAATACAGGGCTGGGCGAGGAGAACAAGGTTTTTGATGAAACAGTTCACTGACAATACAAACTCGCTGGTGATTGCCATTCCAAGGGCTCTTTCCAAAACAAACAGAGTTAATCAAGCAGCAAAACAGAGCTGAGAGACCAAGGGCTGATCATCTCCACGGTGCAGGAATTAGAGATGTGCTGGCACGTTAATGAGGGGCTGATTCCCACAGGTTCTCATCCCAGGAATGCTGGAGGGGTTGGTGTTCTGCAGCGTGGAGGGGGAAGGGTCTGCAGCACCTACATGAGCTGGGGAAGGGGCTGGAGCAGCAGGAGCAGCAGGAACAGCTGGGGGGGCTCAACCTGGACAAAAGGAGGCTCAGGGGGGACCTTCTGGCTCTGCAACCCCCTGACAGGAGGGGGGAGCCGGGGGGGGTCGGGCTCTGCTCCCAGGGAACAAGGGACAGGAGGAGAGGGAACGGCCTCCAGCTGTGCCAGGGGAGGCTCAGGTTGGATACTGGAAAAATTTCTTCATGGAAAGGATTATCCAGCCCTGGCCCAGCTGCCCAGGGCAGTGGGGGAGTCCCCATCCCTGGAGGGGTTTCAAAACTTGTAGATGTGGCACGTGGGGACCTGGGTCAGAGGTGGCCTTGGCAGTGCTGGGGGGATGGTTGGACCCCATCCTGGAGCTCTTTTCCAACCTCAGTGATCTGTGATCCTCTGATCAATGTTACTCCCCAAATGTACAACATTAGAGACCAGCTTTCAAACTCTGAGTTTCTCAGAGACCTGCAGAGAACAACTGAAACTACAAACACTCTCAAGTAGCTGAAGTTTGTTCTCCAGGGCTTTGTGCCTCTGCTGGGAATGTTTTTAAGTCTGCAAACTGCTTGAAAAGGTTACAGAGCCTACAACAGACAACTGCAGGGCTGGGAGGGCGGTGTTTTCATACGTATCATAGAATTATTGAGGTTGGCAAAGCCCTCTAAGACCACGGAGTCCAACCATTAACCCAGCACTGCCAAGCCCACCCCTAACCCATGTCCCCAAGTGCCATTTCCCAGCTTTTGATGTTTCTTCAGTGGTTTCTCCCCTGCTTCAGGAAACCAGCCCCTTCCTGAGGGGCTTTTACATACCCTAAAAGCCTCTTGCCCAAATTGTATCTGTGTTTCCCTTTTCCATCTGTATTTATCCTCTCCCATATGTACATACCCACGGGTATTACACACAACCACGTCCATACACACTCCCACAAGGGGAATTTTTAATAGTCCTACCATTAAGAAGCGACACCTCACTGTTTAAATCTGATTTAGAAAACCAGTGGAGGAGCAGTGACTGTCCCAGCCCAGCACAACAGGCTCAAACATCCTTGTGTGCCCGTCCAGGTGGAACAATGGACTGTTATCCCTGTTTCAGAGCCCTCACACTGGTGATGGAAACACTGGTGATGGAACCTTCCCCCTTTCCTCTGCAGTGTCCTGCTCCTGCCGTGTATTCCAGCAGGCAGGAGAGATTTTAGCAGACAGCAGAATAACAGGAAAAAGCAGCAAATGATGTTCCCAGCTCTTTGCCACAGTCACATTCTCACTCTTCACAGCGGGGTTTTAACAGCTTGAAATGCAAGACTAAAGCTGGAAAGAGGCAATTTGGGTTTGAGCACACTTTTAAATGACATTTCATTGGGAAAGTGAAATACCTGAGTAAGTCTCTAGCTTTGTTTTATTTCCCAAAAGAGAAAAGGAAAGAGAGCACACCTTTGTCCACCGGCAGAGCTTCACCCCGGAATGGCTCCCAATGAGTTTGTAACCTGAAAACAAAGCAAAAAATAATGAAGAGCTGATTTTAACCTGCAGTAATTGAGACATAAAACATACCAATGGGTACCCAAAAGGATTAAGCATCACAGACTCAGTGCTGCTCTTCCTCATTGGCCCCCAGGTGACACCCCCAACAATGACACAGCTGCACATCAGAGCCAAGGTTGTGGCCACCCAAGGGACTTCAGCCAACTGGGAATGGTTTCTTTTGATGGGACATTCATTTATATTGCTCAGTCCTGTTTGAATCAACAGGGTGGCCAGAAAACCCCTCTGTGGAAGGGGCTGGCAGAACCACAGGTCTGACCCAGCAATGTGGGAGGGAGCAGGACAGGGAACCACAGACACCTCCCTGGCCCTGAGCCATGACCCTCCAACAGCCTCTTCCCAGCAGCCAGGATCCCAAATTCCCACTGGCAGGTCTGACTGAGCCCAGAGCACAACACCTGATTCCCAGAGCAGCTGTGAGGGCAGGGGAAGGGACCCAACACACAAAGCTCAGCCTAAACCCAACCTTCAGGCTCCCCAGCTCCATCCCCGTGGTTCTGGTGCAGCCACAGCGAGGGAGCTGCTACTTCATGCCCACAGAAAAGCACTGCCCCATTCCCAAGATCAACACAATTCCATTTAAATGTCTTGCTCCAGGAGGATTAATCCCACAACACTCATTAAGCACTAAGTGCTATTATTACCCAAACTGCTCGAGTTGGGTTATATCCCTCTTTGAAAAAAAAGTGCTTAGAGGCCAATATGTCTCAAGGATTAAAAGTCACTTCAAAATCAGCATAAAAATAAGAGGGATTTGTGATGCCTCGCTGTGTCACTCACAGGGCAGCTTTTCTGTGGCACTGGCCTGGCTGGCCCCAAACTCAGCACATCCCAACTACCTGCTTTAGGGGGCAAAAAAATATCAAATGTTAGCTGTCAGGTCTTCTTCCTGCCAACCAGCATGAGCTGAACAGGAAAAAACAGGAAAAAAGTCTTCTGCTCAGCACAACTGGCCTTCAGCTCCTCCAAGGAGCAGCAGCACAATTCCCTGCCCTGCCTGTTTGTCCCTGGGCAGCTCTGGCACAAGATTCCAGGGAGAGTGACTGCATCCCAAAGAGCCCCACACCTCCAAGGGCAGGGAGCCAGCCAGGACTGACAGTGCCAGCAGATGCCACAACAGCTGCACCAGGTGGAAGTTAAACTGTGTGAAGGCAGACACGGCCAAGGGGGAGCACAGTGCTCTGGTTCTGCCACTCAAAGCCAGCTGGGATCTGCCCAGGCTCCTCTCCTGCTTCACCTGGGGTTTGATCCCAGCTCCTCACACCGGTTCTGACCTTGCTGGGGGGTCAGGACAGGTGGTTTTAGCCTGAGGTGACACAGGACACTGCACAAACAGCAGCACAGAGGAGGTGCCTGGCAGGACCTTCTGTGAGATGGCAACGGGCCCAAGTGCCAGACAAAGTGAGACTTTGGGGGCTTCAGAGCCAGGCTGCTCCCATGGCCTGGGCTCCATCTCCCTCCTGCTCTGTGGGGATGGACAATACTGCAACATTTGCCTCTCTGAGTGAATAATTCCCAATATCCAGAGGGATGGAGCAGCTCTGCTGGGAGGAAAGGCTGAGAGAGTTGGGATTGTTCAGCCTGGAGAAGAGAAGCCCCAGGGTGACCTAATTGTGGCCTTCCAGGACCTGAAGGGGCTACAAGAAACATGGAGAGAGACTGTTTACAAGGTTTGGAGTGACAGGACAAGAGGGAATGGCTTCCCACTGCCAGAGGGCAGGGTTAGGTGGGATATTGGAAGGAATCCTTCCCTGTGAGGGTGGAGAGGCCCTGGCACAGGTTGCCCAGAGAAGCTGTGGCTGCCCCATCCCTAGGAGTGTCCAAGGCCAGGTTGGATGGAGTTTGGAGCAACTTGGAATAGTGGAAGGTACCCCTGCTCATGGCAGAGGGTGGGACTGGATGATCTTTAATGTCCCTTCCAACCCAAACCATTCCATGGTCAGCTCTTCTAACATGGGACTGACGGTCCCCAAAGCCACAAGCAATACTGGGGACATCTTTCCCTGGGACTGGATGACACTCAGAAGATCCTGTGGCAGGTTCTGATACTCTCCAGTGGCACAGCCACACACACACAACTGCATCTGGCTGTGACCTGACATCTCCCCCACCATGGCTCTACCCTGCCCAGACCTTCAGCTTTTCTTTGCAAACAGGCTTGTCCAGCAAGGTCTAATCTCAACTGAGACCTCCCTGCACTGCTAAAATTCCTGCTCTTACAGGATTTCTGGATGAGAGCTCAAAGGAATGCTGCATTCCTCCTCCCTCTAATACAGCTGCCTGAGCCAGACTCTGCTGTCAACCAGCACAGCCCCAAGTCTTATTTTTGCCATTTTTCAAAATCCAGCAACAGCATTCATGGGAGATTATTCCCTCACAGATCACTTGTCAGTAGAAGTAATATGGCTGCTTTAAAATGGGCTTTGGAGGAAACTTAAATTGGAAATAGGACATGCTCTCCTAGATTTGCTGCTGAGCTGTTTGAGGGAAGAGAGAGGAAGCAGCTAAACTGAGCAAGATGCCAAGCACTGGAGCCCAGAGCTCCAGCATTTTCTCTTCAGTTACTGAAATCAACTTCCACCATGTGGAGCAGCCCCAGCTTCCTTTCAAGGCCAGGAAAACTGCCCATGTTCAACATCAAAACGGAGTCCTACAAACTGCAGCCAGCTTGAGGGATAAGAAGGGGTTTATTCATCTTGGCTGCTGCCAGGAGGCCCAGCTGTGGTGACAGGAGGGAACAGCAGGACTTGTAGAACTCCCTAAAGCCACTGTGCAGAGAACTTGGGTCCTTCACCACGGGGGAAACGGGGAGGAGTGCGGTCACCCTGCTAAAGCCACGCAGTGAGTGCTGCCCTGACACTTGGGAGTGAGATAAAATATCAGTGGCCAAGGCTGGGCACTTTTTACACCTCTGCTCCAGGTGAGCAGAGACCTTACAGTCTCTTTCTTGAAGCACTTGCTGTGCTGCTGGGAAGGAGGCAGCAAAAGAGTCTGGGCTAAAGGGAAGTACAAAAGGTTAAGCAAGAACCAAGCAGTGTCACAGAATCATGGAACTGTTGTGGTTGGAAAGACCTCCGAGATCATCGAGTCCAACCATCCCCCAGCACTGCCCGTGTCCCCAAGAGCCACATCCATGTCTGTTAAACCCCTCCAGGGATGGGGACTCCCCCACTGCCCTGGGCAGCTGGGCCAGAGCTGGACACTCCTTTAATGAAGAAATTCCTCCTGATGTCCAACCTGACCCTCCCCTGGCACAGCTGGAGGCCGTTCCCTCTCCTCCTGTCCCTTGTTCCCTGGGAGCAGAGCCCGACCCCCCCCGGCTCCCCCCTCCTGTCAGGGGGTTGCAGAGCCAGAAGGTCCCCCCTGAGCCTCCTTTGCTCCAGGCTGAGCCCCCCCAGCTCCCTCAGCTGCTCCTGCTGCTCCAACCCCTTCCCCAGCTCCGTTCCCTTCCCTGCACACACTCCAGCCCCTCCATGTCTTTCTTGTCCTGAGGGGCCCAGAACTGCCCCCAGGATTTGTGCAGTGCCAGCACAGGGGGACAGTCACTTCCTCACTGCAAAGTTTCAAACCAAACGTGAAAAAATGCCCTCCAAACCCAGCTTGGAGGGTCTCCAGCCCTGTTTCCCTTTTTCCCTTCAGGAAGCTCAAGGGCAGCTCAACTCCTCCACCAGCTCTGCCACAACTTCCCCTTGGCTATGCCATGGAATTCTCTGGAATCAAATCCCACTGACGGCCCCAAGTCTGCACCTGTGGGTGCCAGGTCTTCCCAGCCACACATTCACTGCTTTGCTCTTAAGGGATATTACTCAGGAGCAATAAGTCTAAGTGAAAATTTGGATACAGCACCTTCCAAACAATCCAGTGTGTTGTCTTGATGTGCTCACAGTCCCTCTGTATCTTCAGATGCTAAAGGTGAACAAACCAACCTATTTATTATTTCTCCAGCCTAATATTCAAAGGTTTCCTTCAACTATAAACAGGCTCACAGTAATCAGCTCGACTCCTGTCTAAAGGCCCAAAGAGCATCTAATCTGAAGGCTGTGTATTAGTTGATCCTGCTGGAGATGATAAATTTGGGATGACCCAGAAGCTTGCCAAACTTGCTGGAAATTAAGTGTCACTTTTATAGACATGAATTAAGCTTTAAAACAAGCTTTGGGGTGAAATGAGTGTTATCAGGCAGTAACACCAGGCTGAGAAACATTTGGAGATTGCTCACCCTGACAGCCCAAGCAGAGTTTAACAGCCCACAGAGGGACTTTGAAAGGGAGAGATGGTCACGTCACAGCTCAAGATTGCTCCAGTGTCTGGGGCAAAACTGGGCTGCAGCTCCTGGAAGCTACATTGCAGCATTTCAACTCCATCATGGAAATTATAGTTTTTAAAGTTCTTCCTCTGAAAGTCAAAGAGCTCATGGAGGGACCCAGCTGAGCTCTCAGCCCTGAGCCAGGACTCTCTGTCTATAAACCCACGGCACATTTTGGAATATCAAGGAGTTCTGGGTGTGGTTTGCCAGTTTGCCAGTGCCATACACACAACCAGCCTTTCTAAGGTCCTGCATGGAGATGAGTTATGCAAATAAATGAACAATTACATTATTTTTGGAAGCTGAACAGATAAACTGAATTTCTACCAGTACAACTGTCCCTCTCAGCAGCAGGGCCATATCTGCACAGGCTGAAAAACTGAGCTGTGAGACAGCCCTGCTGAACAGCTCCCAAACACTGCTGACTGTGCTGAGGAGCAGAATGTCCAGAAGAAACCCCACAGACAGAATCACTGAGGCTGGAAAAGCCCTCCAGGATCATTGAGTCCACCCTGTGCCCCATCCCCAGCCTGTCCCCCAGCCCAGAGCACTGAGAGCCACCTCCAGGCCTTCCTTGGACATCCCCAGGGGTGGGGACAGCACCACCTCCCTGGGCAGCCCCTTCCAGTGCCTGAC